ACAAAACGTAATTTACTCTTTAAGTGCTTGCAGTGGTATCTTTTCCTACTGCTAACTGTTGATCTTATTTTGCACTCTGGTGTCAAATAGCATCTTTGGCATGAGAGTAAAACAACAGGAAATCTTCAGTAAATCATCATAGCCTTTAACAAAAGTGTTTCAGGAAGCTAAGTACCCTGAAAAAAAAAAAAAAAAAAAAATCTTCATTCTTGTTTGACACTTCTCTATTTACTTTATTCTTTTTATGGAATGGCCATCATTTAATGAGCAATTATGCACAATATTTACTTGAACAGTAAAGTGATCTCAGGGACTTTAATGCAAGCATTATTCTAAAGGCTGCTCCATAAAACAAAGAGAAAGTACTTCACCTCAGGATAATGTTACAGGAAGAGCTTCAGTCAGCAGAGCTAAATTTAAAAACAGTGCTCTTACAAGATCTAATAACTTGCAAATTTATGAGTGGATCTGGCAGCTCTTTTTCAGACCAAAATTGTGATAATACCTTTCAGCAGAGGTTGTCAAAATTAACTACAAAATACAGCACAGAATGTATCAGCTCTATCTTCAGTAGTTCCACATTAGCAACACCAGGATAAGATGGAAGAGTAGATTCATACTCTATAGGCATCATCTTACTATTCTAAATATAGAATTCCTTCATCTCCTTTATTCCTTCCCACATTATTTTTCTTACACTTTATTGTCAATAAAATTTTTGCTACTCTAGTACAAAAAGTGGATTTGATACAACCGTGTTTTTATAATATGTAATATACTGTCCCGATCTGTTACTTTATTGAAAAAATAATACATTTCCAGTAATAAAAATTAATTATTAGGCTAGTCAAGAACTGAGATGTTTTCCTCTTATCTACTTACACTCTACAGTAAAATTACATCACCTTTTTACTTCCTGATCTAAACAAAAAGATTCCAATGACATCAATAGTTACTCTGAATATGAGAGTTGTGCATGAGAGAGCTCCCACTGCTACATCCCACTTGGGGAACCAGTTTAACCAAGCAACATGGATAGAGGTATGCTAATACTAAAGATGGAGCTGACAATACAAAAGAAATTCTGCTATTTTGGCTCATGAAGTTAAGCTTGAATCATAAGAGAGGGACCAGAGAAAGTAAAATCTGAGATAAGTTGCACGAATATCCCTGACAATCTGAGCCAGACCCTACCAGAAGTCAGAGAAGCTCCTTAGCAGTAGTTGTCACCTATAACTGATGCAAGACCGTGGGCTAAGAGGACCAACAAAATCATTTAATTTGCTTGTCTTCTTTTCTTTCTTTTTTGATGTTAATCTTGATGCAGTTATCATAGCATATGGCAAGGAAGAGTTTGTGAGTGGTGGTAATATGTTTATCAGAGAAAAAAAAATAAATTGGAAAAAGAAACTCCTTTTCAGATACAAGCCCTTTTTTTGGGAAGATCTTCTTCAGGACAAAGTGGTTGTACATTCAAAAGTATATCTAGTGTTTCCAATTATGCTAGGTGGTCTTATACACAGTGTTGTCAATGAAGCTTGCCTTTTCTTACTAAGATCTTAGGAATATAGCTAGTACCAAAGGCCTGAGATCTTCCTGATGGCAGAAAGTCCTGCCATATACCACCAGCTGCCTCAAGTCTTTGAAGCCAAATCTTTTCATTAACAGAATATAAAATCTATCACAAAGTTTATGCAGATGGGTTGAGCATATGTTTCAAGATGTAAATGTGTACTCAGGTACATACAAGCACCTTTTGAAATGATAGCACCTCATTGAGAGACAGGATTGGAACAAGGGATAAAAAGAGCCAAGAAAAAGAAAATCTGCCTGTGAAATCCTTAAAGTTGGAGTTAAAAAGTTTTAGTGTTCATTCTCAATTCTATATTGCACTGAACAAAAACTGTTTGAGGGCCAGGTTTAGTTAGTTATTCAATAGTTTAGTGAAATCTTTCTCCTCAAAAAATCAACAGGCAAGGATGAACAGCAAAGGCAGTTTTAGAAAGAGATTTACCTAGGGAAAGTGATTTGAAAAAGTGCTGTAAGAATGGAAAGATTCAAACTTCCTTTTTTATCCTTATTAAATACTACCTCTTTTTTTCAATGGAAGAAAACCTGTTAGTGATCTTTTTTTGGGACTGAGGATAAATGAGATAAGTGAGGTATCTCCTAGATCTGCCATAATAATTGATCTCTCTTGGCTTTCTTCCAACCTACACCCTTCTAGAGGATCTGAGAGACATCTCATTGTGAGACATCTTGACATGCATATCAGACCCATGCATTTAAAATCAGCTGCAAAAATATATGTGACTATTTTCTTGCTGATAACTTTGTTTGCCAGAAATGGCAACTCCCTGGTAAATCAGATTGTATGTCGATACAGTAAAAAATAAAAAGACTGAGTTAAAGCAGGTTATAATTTGCACCTCTCAAACGGTGTAGATTTAGTAGACCAATTTTTTCTGTATGCAATTGCCTGCTGTGTGGTTAGTCCAAGGTGGTACTTAGTCCAATCTGTTATCTTCATCTGATGGTTTATGCTTTCTGGCTTGGGAATTCTGATTGACTAATGTTAATTTTTTTCTGATTGACTCTACTCTGGACAAAAGACATAAATCATTCTTATCAAGAATCTAATGTCTTTAACAACAAGGTTAGTAGCTAAGGAGCCATTTTCTCTCCTTTAATGTCAATCTCTTCTAAATTTATATGTGTAAAGTTTGTGTTCCATCACAAAAATAAGAAAATGCCATTAATTAACTGTATATATATAAATAATATTTACAGCTTAAACTTTACTTTGCATTTACTTGTTTTTTGGCATAATTTTTAATTATTACATACCCATTATATTAAAAATTTGCATAAATATATAGTTTTACTCTTCCATATAGATCTTTCTTATTGGACTTTATTGTTTTTAATAGACTGTTCATTTTTCTACATACCGCAGGATAGTGTGCTACGTTCTAAAATGGTATGGTGGAATGTGGAGAATTTTGTTTTGGGGAAATAATAAATTCCTTTGGCTTTGTACAAAAGGCTTTATTCATCCCTCAAGTGCATGATCATTATCTGGGTCTATCTTGGCTTCTCCCTTAATTTAAACATGAACCATGTACTGTAAATCACCTTTTTTTATTTATTTTTTTTTTGCTTACAGACACGTGCAATATGCAGATGTGCAGCATCTTATATTAAAAAATGTACTAAGATTTTAGTTTCTAAAAAATGTGTATATAGGGAGTTAATTCATTAATGAAAATTAGCACCTATTCCAATATCAAACAGTTTTTCCTTGCTGTCACTGTGAAATTTAGCCTAAACTGAGAGGAAAATATGAATCTTACTGCAATTTCTAGTTAAGTTGTTGAAGCTGCTGCTCCAAAACATCATGTATGTCAAAGCATCTTATTGGAGCATATTCATGCTTAAGGGACATGGAGCATGCACTTTCAGCTACTAAATACAGATAATTATACAATACTTCTCAAAAAAGTATCTATTTTTTACTAGTTAGAAACTCATCTCCCTACCACATAAGCCCACAGAATGGTGCCTCAGACCAAGAACCATACTTACAGAAAAAGTGTGAATAAACCTCTTACAAAGGGCTTTTTCATTCACAATGTTTTACTAGAAGTCATAATACACAGATAAATGATCCTCAAACATGCATACAGACTGCTGTGTTTCCTTCCTCTCTAGTGCAACCACTGCATTAACCTGAAAAGCTGTGCTAAAACTTGGCACTTCTTACTTGCAGCCAAAAGTAAGAAGCCAAACCACTTGTGCATTAGCATCTCTGCACAGGCCCTTGCACTGGTCTCTGCATTCTCACTTCCCACAACACACCACTGTGGACAGTCACTCCAGCCCTCCATCTCCTCAGTATTCAGGAGAGCCTGTGCAGCGTGCAGTTAAAATGAAACCAAAAAATATGTCTCTTCTGAGGTAAACCTCTTTTGAGGTACCACAGACCTGTAACAAAAGCCAGAGGTCAGAAGGACAAAATCCTCCGAGTTGGAGTCCATTCGTGCAGTGTGTTAAATGCCATTAAGTTTCATTGACTTCTCCAGTCTTTTACCAAGGCATTTATTTGCATTAGCAGCACAGATTCATATTTAATAACTATTTAAATGTTATTACAGTTATTTATTGAAATGCACTGAAGAAAAGCATCTATTACTAAAGGTAATAACTCACAGCATTGTATTAGGAAAATATTTTGTGTTGTCTCATGAAAAGGAATTTATATATAGGGATGTTATAGTGCATGTTACTGTACAGAGTGTTACAATGTTACCCAGCTTTGATTAACATTCCAGGTCCAGAATCAGTTTGGCCACAGTATCCTGTAAGAGCTAATGACTTTGGAGTGCTACATATGATACAACTCAGACTGACCTGTCTTTCAGAAAGTATTAAATCTCTGCCATGAGCACACATTTTGGAGGGCTGAAATGGACATCCAAACAGTGAGACCCAACAGAGTAGTCTTTTAGAAAATTTTGGCCTTTATGAACACTGATGTAATTCAGGATTAATGCCATCGAGCTGAAAAGATTACAATAACAAAAGAGCAATATGAGATTGGATTTAGGCCTCCAAAGCCTAAAATCTCCAATATATATTTAAAGACAAATAACCTACTCCAGCACTTGGAAAATGGGGCCTATTGAAAAGCACAAAACCTCTGAAATGCTATTTGAATGCCAGAAAAGTAATAGTTTAGAAAGCCAAGATAAAAATGCCAAGAGGAACAGAAAGGAGTGAGCCAGAAACTCTAACATGTTCATTTCCACCCTGTCCATGAGCTGGGTAAGACCACAGCTCCACAGTCATCTCTGGGTATTAACTGATGGACAGTCCCTGCCCTCAGTGACATGGGTGCCAACTGGCAAAAATAGAAATACGAGCGTAAGCTGGACTTAAAATGAGGTTCCTAACTAGAACAAACACCAACTCAGAAACATGTGCCTTATGATGATACCTACATTTAGCTGTCACTTTGTACCCGCCCAGAGGAGGGTCATGGCCTTCCACTGCATCGAATCCCGCTGACACCAGGACAATCTCTGGATCAAACTCATTGGCAGCTGGCATAATCACAGTCCTGTCGAATGAAAAAAACCCAAGCTGTTAAAAAATGAAAGAACTTCTCTCTTCATGGTATAAATTGCCACTATCTTAAAAATCCACAAGATATTTTCTTTTAATTAAACCGATCTTCATGGTAGCTGTCCAAAACCAAACAAAGTCCAAGGCTTCAATTACTTTCTTTCTATAGTCACTCTTTTTTTTCTTTTCTGCTATTGAGGAAAAAAAATAAATGCAGGTACATGTGAAAGCCTCTAATGTTACACACACATCTGTGCCTGTTTTATCCTACTGCCTATAAAAAGCTGCCTCTTCCAGGGAAGTGACTAATGGTTTACAGAGAGCACTCAAAGCCTGAGTGGAAACCCGGACTGCTCCAGTTAGTGCGAACTTGGTGTAAATTTGAACTATAAATTTCTTTTGGGAAAATGTTTGCTTTCCAAACTTTTTTTTCCCTCCTTCTTCTCAACATTTTTAAATGTTTGTCGAAGTGGGGGGTGACTCTAGCAAAGGAAAAAACATGAAATTCCCTTAATCAAATCCAGACTATGTTGTCAAGCCTTTCCAAGGTCAAGCATAACAGGAATGTGACAACCACAAACTAGTGACAGCAACCCCTGCTGGTGTTAGGAAGATAATTCAGCCCTTCACAGTCACAAAGATTCCACTTTTTTAACTCCTTCCTCGACAAATTTCCATGGGGATGTTTTGTCACTTTGTCATTGCTCTTCTCCAAACTCAAAGCACTAAAGATGTGCTGAAGAAGAAGACAAAACGCTGCATTCTGCACTCACAGATGCCTTCCTTCAGGCTGACCCTCCACAGGGAAGGCATCAGGATGGCTTTTACACCACTGCGACAAACATTGAGCCTGTAACAACTGTGCTAATTGAAGGGGATATAACTAACACTAAAAGACAAACACACAGATTAATCTTCTATTCCAAATATATTAACTCAACAAAATCTCCGTTGGTCTACACTGGTCAAAATCTGAAGATCAATTTTAGCTCAGTATTTATTTATTATTTAATCAACTCAGGCCAAAGAGAGCATGTTTTTGTTGAAAGATTAAGTGTTTCTGTAGGAGAAAAAAAAAAGCATATCAATAATATTTTACCAACTCCTTAGGTTTTTGCTTTGTGTTTTAAAAACTTTATTTTGTTCTGATTTCCTCAAAGGAAAGTGTTCCTTTTACTTGTTAGTCAGAGAAAAGGAGAATTCAGATTAAGTAATAAATCTTTGTCAGGACATAGAGCATTTAAGTGAATATTGTTTTACAATAGAAAAAAAAAAACACACAATAGAGGCAACTTCATTTTTTATGGTGATTTCATTGAAATTGCATCACAAATGTCTGCATACAAAGTGATATAATTTGAGAAACATTCATTTTTTAATATGTCATTAGTAGGCCTTTGCTGAAGTATGGATTCCAGTATCAAGCGTTGCATTTCAAGAGGACCTAGATCAACTCGAGAGAATAAAAGGAAAGAAAAAATCTTTAAAATGTGACTTACATGGATAAAATGATAAAATTCTAATTCTTTGATTCACAAAGCATGACAGCAAACACAGTAAGTTCATGAATATGTAAGTGGTTGTTGCAAGAGGAAAGAAATAAGCAGTTCTGCATTTCCACTGTCAATAGGACATGAAGAAGTTGTAGCAGGAAAGCTGTAGTTCGGACTCTGGAAAAAGCTTTTTAATAGTAAGGACAGATAAGAATTTAAATAAAATGTTTAAGTACATTGAAGAGTCTCTATCTCTTTGAGTTTTTTATAACAGGTAAAACAAATAGCCATCAAGCTTGCCACAGGTTCAAGCTGATATGGCCTTGACAGGGAGGTCAGATTACTTTTCTTCTAGGTCTTTTTTTCCTATGGTTTCATGATGTATAAATATGTAACACTCAAATTATGCATATGAATAATTACATTAGAAACTACAGTGACTTAACATTTTTGCAGGCTAATCTCCACAGTTAGTGAACAATATCAGGAATAAAGATTTCCTACGAAACCCATCTTATCTTTCTTATGTACATACCTTCTGATACTCAAATTATATGTTCTTTTTCTGAAGTAACACACACTTCCCAAAATTCCCCACGTCTGCAACACATGTGGCAGGGATCTTGTTTAGTGATCAGGACTGTGGCTGATATGCAATCTTGATCTGTCCCCATAGCACCATGTATCTTATACACTAAAAGAAGGAGGGATTCTATGGAGAACCCTCCCTGTCTGCAGCGACTTGAGCTTTTGCACTCCTCCTCTCCATTCACATTTCCTCAAATTCATGCCAGGCTCTGTTTTTTATTTCTTAATGTCAAATAAAGTGGCAGCACTGCAGAATACAGCACACACAGTGGGCAGGAGTCAGAGGATGGAGTGTGTTCAGTGCAGACAGCTCTGGAAACCCAAGTTACTGACCACCAACAAGTCTTATAAGGCTAGCACAGAAGCAGATTTTTGAGAGGCTTGTAATTTGGAACACTGAGAAAATCTTCCACACTTCTACCACATTTCAAGACCTTGCTCAAAAGCATAAAGATGTCAGCACATTTTTTTATAAGTTGGGCAAAACAATGCATTTGACCCTTGATCTCATTCTCTGAAGCAGCAAAAATTGTCTAGCAGTTTCTTCAAAATTGTTGTCAAGTAAATATGCCTGATATGAAAACTGCCAGCCACATTGAATAATATTAGTAAAATTATTAAACATTGAAAGCAAAGTCTTGCAACACAAAGCACCATAAATAGTTATTAACACCATCTCTAACAGTACTGAACAGGAAATAGTAACATATTCGTAAATCTTTACAGAAAGCTTAGCCTAAGGAGGAAGTTGTAAGGATAATAACCACAGCTGACACTTAGAATTCACAATTCTGTTACTGTTTTCTGTATTACCTGAATTGACATGAGTAAAATAATACCTAAGAGGGCTTTTCTGAAGGAGAGGATTTTATCATTAAAAAATTTACAGTGTCTGTAAATTTCACCAGAAGAATGGCACCTTACTTTTGTTGTAGCACTGTTTCATAAATTACGACAGAACCTTGCTGCTGCTACTCTGCATACTACGTAGCAGAAGAGCTAACCTATGTGCCTGCATGACTTGTGTTTTTGCTAATTTCTCCTTCATCCTCCATAATATTGAGGGACTCTAAAAGTCTGAGCTCGTCCACCTTACACTGTTCTAGATTTAGTACTGAGCAGAAACTCTATGTACTTTTCTTTAAAAAAGACATTATGGAAAATATTATCTGTTTACAAAGATAGCAAGCTTGACTCTTCTCTAAAATGTCTCAGGGTGTCTGTGGTCCTTGTTACAGCAGCTAAGACTACTATTTGGTCTTTCAAAACTGTGAGAGCTGCAAGTCTCTCAATTGCATAGAGGACCCTATAGGCATCTAGTTACTAAATCTCTAATCCAGTCTTCCTCTATGTTAACCAACAAGCATTTAAGGTTGCTCCTCTTTTGGATAACTACTATGAGATGTCTGCTCAAAGAAGAGTGGCTGAATGTCTGCAAAACATCATAGCATTTTGATTTGGACTTTGTGCAGATAGGACCTCTCTAACCCTTGTCTTGCCTTGGCAGGAACTCCCTTGTGGCACAAAACACACGTGTAAATTGCTTTACAAAAGTGACAGACACTTTCTTATCTTACAAAGTGCTATAAAGAATCACATACATACATTTTAAAATATTGAGTAAATTTCATCAGGACATAAATAAAACCCTCTGGTATTTCCCACCTCTCATGCTTTAGTGCCTTCATTACTCCTGAATAACTAACTATCTTTAGAAAAATGTTCTGAGGTTGGCAGCTCTAAAGAAAGCACAAAGCACGAGATTCCATCCTTTTTTCTTTTTTTTTTTTTTTTGGCCCAAAAGCGATGTGAAGCACACTTCTCCCTTGTAAACAAGCTTCTTTTACCTCAAGTGAGTGAAGATGGTTGGACTCTTCACTGTCTCTTGGGAGTAGAGAATTATCAGACCAAATTATCTTGCTCCTTTATTATCTCATCTACACTCTGGAGGGCACAGAAAGATTTAAGAAAGATAAAGCCTCCTCAGAAGCTCCATAACCATAGCACTCCCTTCTCAATTCCCTAAGAACAGAATCCTCTGAATCAGATAACAGAAAATGTGCTTTTTTGCTTGGGTTTTATTCGTATTTTCTTTTTCATTTAAGAAGCATACAGCTAGCATTGCTCATACACTAGCAGATATTCATGTTAACCTTCCCAAATTCCTCAGACCAGCCCTACACTCAGAAGTCATGCTGCAGCTGGCAGGATTTGTTACGGTGCGAAGGGTCATAACTGTTCATCAGAAATCCTCTGCGAGGGTGCATAGGCAGCCTGCACTCAGGTAGGAACAGTTATTATCTGATTTGCAGCAGGAGCAAGAAATATGATTTGGCTTCTGGCCATAAGTCACCAGACAGTTAGGGACTGGAGGCTGGCAGGTCATCAGCTTTCTGCTTGAAGTCAGTTGGGCTGCAGGGGTTATCAGCGAAGGGAAGTTAATGCTAGAATCCTTCTCCAACTAAATGAGTAGCTTTTTTTCAGAAGAGAAATGAATTTTATTCTTCCACTATGACTCACAGTCTCCTCTACTCCTTTCTCCAAAGAAAACAGAACACATAAAAAAGATATTTATTTTCTGTGATCCTGAATCATATAGAAGCATAAATATTTGGTATACTGTATTCATCTAACGATGACAGCAGAGTTACAGGGGTATCTTGCCTGACTGACTCTTTCTTTCTTTTCCTTCACATTTTCATTAATAAATGTGTCAAAGCCTGAAAGCTTGAGCAGATGGATCACAGGAGTTATTTATCCATGCTAAACCTTGCAGCTACAATGAAACTGTGTCCTCCAGTCCAAGGTAGTATAGATCCTTCTGTAAGTCTGATGGTCCTGGGAACAGTGCGTGTGTCTGGGAAGCTGAAAAGATTCATTTTTGTCTCACTAAGGAGATTTCCCCAAAGAATTA